GGGAGTGGGTGTGAATGTGAGTGTGAGTTTGGGTGTGTAGGTTGTGGGTGTGGCTCTACAAAAATGTAATGCTCACACCCACACCCATTTTTTGTAGGATTTGGAGCGAAGAATTTTCATTCGTTTGAAAGAGAATGAAGTTTTTAATCTTTTCTTTCGAATACTATGAAATGACTATGATTCAGTTTTTGAAATTTGAAACTTTTTATTATATACACTATAAAAAAGTAGCTTAGTAATCGATTACTAGTGTTATCTACTTGAATTTTCAAATACTTTTTTTATGTTATTGTATATGAATATTATAATGATAAATTAGTTAGTTTAGAGTAAGAGACAACTTAGAAATAAATCAATAAGATAAAGATATTTTTCAAGTATTAGAAAACATTTGAAGAATTGATTTTATATTTCATTTCTCATAAGTAAAGTCTAACATTTGTTTATTCCATTGCTCGATTATTTTTTTATTATAATGATAAAACTAGGGTGTGGATGTGAGTCTTCACTACTACCACATCTACATAGGTTTTCGACCACGAATACTATCTAGAATAACTACACAATTGCAATACATCCTTCAGTAACGAATAATAAGGGTGGGTGTAGGTATGGATGAAGCTGTTCATGAATAGATACTAACACCCACACCCACACCCTCTTGATCAGAATCTGCTCAACTCTACTTTTTTTCGACAAATTTTATTATACGAATGAATCAGCACGAAATGGAATGCTTCACTCCGGTTGTACATGAATTTTCGTAAATGTATATTGACCGAAACACTATCTTATTTACTTAGTTCTAAGGGGCGTACGAAAATTTTCCAGAACTTTCCCAACGAATGACCCATGTATCTCCTTTACGGATGATTTGGAAAGATTCTAGAACATTCCTTGATGTTTCATTCGAAGAGATTAAGCACTAGTCTCCATAAACTATGTTCTGTAAAACAATCACAAAACATGTGTAGCATGTTTGCTACTATCGGACTGAAAGAGTTAAAAAGCCCTTCCATTAACCTAACAAATTGAGTTCAAGATTTTCAAAATCTGACTTCACATTCGGGTTCTCCGACCCCGATTTGCTTTCGTCAACCCTTATAACAAAAAAGTTATTTTCTTAGAAAATACGGTCTTTCGTGAAAACCGACTTGGTCGATAATCGTAGGTACTGCTACTGTATTGGACTGATAACCGTAGGTATGGTTATCGGTTTGGACCGGTGAAGCGGTGAAGCGGTGACAGTTAATCGATGAATGATCGTCATCGTTGCATCCCTAGCCATGAAGTGGTCACTATTTGGGAATTGCTTATGAAGTTTGAGAAATACGATCATGTATCACAGTAGCCACATGGTAGTGATTGAATATGCACTTCTCGATTACGATATGAGCAGCTTCACTTTTGATAGGAATCAGATCAACCTGAGTAGCTTTAAGTATAGTACGTTGTGGCCGCTGGCACTGATGAACGATGAACCAGTGCACCGGTGGCCACCGTCATCGTTGCATCCCTACCACATAATACTCACGCTTGAGGGTATGGATGCAGATCAAAGCAAGTACTATGACTGGCTTCGTCCTTGCTTGGTGAATTCATCGGATGGTTTTCAAGTGCAGAACTATTCAATAATCTAATAATAAGATCGCAAATAAGTTATATAATGTAGAATTATCGAAGAGTTCTTTTGTAGAAATTTGAATTTTTGCGTTTAGTTTTTGAAATGTGGCGGATTTTTGCGGCATGTGGTTCATATTCTTTAAGAAATCTAGTTTCATTTTTTATAGACATGGGTTTCATTCGCGATTCTATGTCTTACGGTGTAGCGCTTGCTTTGTGGATGTGGGTTTCTGTCGGGTAGATATGAATGTGGGTGAAAATAACGGGTGGACCAGAATAAATGGCGGTCTCCGTATTTTTGCAATATCTCTTTCAGTTTTCATTGTTTAGGATTGCATCTTTTTCCAAAAAAATTCAGCGTTTATTTCTCTACAAAACCATATTTAAATAGGCATCATAGAAGTAAAATTAAAAAAGTGATTGTATTAATACTGGGAACATGCAGCATTAACAACTGTCAAGAACAAAATCATTTTGCTTGCATTAACGCATTCTTGTGTTGAATTATATAGACAAACAAAATTATCCATTTTGTAGAGCTTCTGAACCTTCATCTTATTCGTATGTTGAAGCATTTTTACAAGGAAACCGTATCACATAAAATAAGCATTACTTATTTTCTAACTTTCAAAAAAAATGCTTTTTTACCGTAAGTTTTCATGTGTTTGAAAATTTCATGCAACCCATGTCCGTCAAAGATTATTTTTTCATTTCAATTTTTTTTCTTTAAAAGCTACTGAGTCATACTATCGACTCCTCCCTTAATTCTGAGTAAATGCTCGTTCTCGTTGATTAGGTTCAACAAGGGAGACCAACTATCTGAGATTCGTACCACGTGCCCACAAACTGGATCTTCTGTCAAAAATTTTACTGGAAATTTTCTTTAGAATGTTCTCTCTTGCCGTCCGCCAGATAGACTGCACAGAATTGTATTACAAATGCTACTTTAAATCTTCTGATCAGCGTTTTATTAGTAGAAAGAAACGAATATCTATTTGAATAGAAGTATTTTGAAAGTTGTTAATATTACATGTTCTCAGTATTAATACAATAACTTTTTTAGTTTTACCTCTATGATGCCCATTTAAATTTGGTTTTGTAGAGAAATGAACGCTGAATCTTTTGAAAAAAGATGCAGCCCTAAACAATGAAAACTGAAAGAGATATTGAAAAAATACGGAGACCGTCATTTATTCGAACCCACCCGTTATTATTACGATGGGGACCGACATCCACATGCACACTCGTATCCACACCCACCCGATACCTTCACTCACAACCGCAGCACACGCCCATCCCCACATTAACATCAACAACCACCCTTGTTGCTCCTCCTAAAAAAGATATCTTTCGCCATCTATGAGTTTAAGGAGTAGATGAACAGAGACTCTTTTTGTCTATTCTTTCTAGCAAAGAAATGTGACTTTTGTTATCTGTAGAAGAGAAAGAGTTGGAGCAACGAATCCTGTCATTATTTGCGTAGAACATGTTGAGAAATCACTCCGCTTTATCAAAAGATGGGCTCAGCAGTCTTGTTTGCATTCGTGATTCAATTTCTCATACATAGTTGCACGAGTACAAGTAAGCCAGTTCTGTTCTACTGCTGATTTAGAGACTATAGATTTCGCATTGATATGTGGTATCATATCTGTATACGTACAACGGATTGCTCAGGGATGCGTTGTACAAGGAAAAATCGGTCAGCGTCGCGCGTCTAAATATATCATCTGTTTTTTTACTGGCAATTAAATAATGTTCGTTAACCCATTAATGGAAACCATTTTGAGGAACTTAGATTATTTAAAGTGCTTCAGAATCGAAAAAAGTTCTCTGACACCCGTTGAGAAATTGGCGCATCGGTTTTCACGACCAAATGTACTTCGGAAAACTTCCAGACGCTACTACTGTACTCTGAAGGCATCTTTTTTGCGGAAAAATGTGAGCAAAACGAAATAAAATAATTCGCGTGTTACTGTAACTTATAAAACCCTTGGAATCTTTTCTCATATGTTCTGTAATTTCAATGCAAAAAAAAACATATTCTTGCACGCAAAAATCGTGCTTATATATTTTCTGCAGAAAGGCAGTACAGTAAAAAAATAAGTAGTTGTGCGCGAACCTAAAAGGAAAGAAAGTAGTTTTTCCTCAGCAGTATTTCGAAAGATTTGGGTAAGTTAAGTGGCGACGTTCAGCTGCGAAAAGGATAGCTGCGTTCTCCAGTCACTTTTACTTAGGTTTTCCAGTCATCGACGCAATCTGGTCAAGAGAAGGGAAGACTGTGGCTGGCGGAAGAGGTTGTGGAAATGCGACGGACCAATTGAACAAACCGTCTGGGCTATCTATAGATCGACATAATACGATGCTTGTCGCTGACTTTCTTAACCATAGAGTAATGAAATGGGAATGGGGTGCAATAATAGGCAGTGTACTAACGGATACAGAAGGACCAGAAGATAATTTCAACCAACTTTGTGCACCCTTAGATGTCATTATTGACTTCGAAGATACCGGCGTGGGTCGTCGATGAGGATGAGAAATCCACACTCACACTCACGCAACATATTTTTTTTCAGAATATAAGACCTAATCAAAATAAAAGATCGAAAGTTTTTCATTGTTTGGAGAATATTTCCCGAACGTAATCTTAGAAATTGTGAAAGACTAATTTTATGTATTGAAATGAACGGTAACAATTTTGAACAGGTTTTGTAAAAAATTCGTTTGTGAATGAAACATTGAAACTCTTTTCGAGTACTAGAGCAGATTTAAACTTATTGGTTTAAAAAACATTCAAAACATTCAAAATTTTTATTGTGAAGTTATTTACAGAACATCCTATATAATTGAAATGTGCATAAATCTTTTTCTTTCTTAAAACGTGGAACTCGACGATGATTCGAATGAAGACAAACATTGAGAAATCAACCGTGCTACAAAAAATAATAATATATGAGTAATAGAGTTTGCTACGTTTTCTACTCTTACCAGTGTTTTCGAGCTGAAGAATCGCATTGTATACAGCATTGGTACTTTTCGAATCAATGATATTGGCATTACGCAATAAAACAAATTCTTTTGGTTTAGATTTTTTCAATTTGATCTTGTGATCAAATATTAATTTATTCAATTTCGCAGCTAAATCGGTCGCTACTTTAACAATATTAGAGTGATTGTCTAGCGTAGAAATCAATACTTTAGAATCGATTGGTTTGAGAGCGTCCAACGTTGCTTGATCAACAATGTTAGGCATCAAACCATTGCTTTCAATAATATTTTCGACAAATGTTTGACACATATTATTTTCACCAGCATCATATATGAAAAAGTTTTTGTCAACATTCAACGCTGTAGAAATTAGTTGATTGAGTGTTAATGGTTTATTTGGTGTTAGTGGAATATCGTAATAGATCGATCATTTCGTCAGGTATAGTCGGATATCTGAGACCAATACGCATTGATTTCTCAAGTATAAGAACTGTTCTACCAGTTGTATTTTGTGGGGCATTTCCAAGTATATGCTGTAGTACATGGAGTCCATGATTATTCTGAATAGTAATAAGTAAATAATTGTGATAGATTTCATGATAGCCAAGTTCAATTTGTTTATCAGTAAATTTCGAATCACTTAAAAAGTTAAGTATTTTAAGAGCAAGATCTTTAACAGGTCTACGACCAAGTTGAATTTTAAGAATAAGTTCATCACCCACTTGTTCCAGTAGATTTCGTATTTTTAGGGGCATTTCTGGATGATTTTTTGCAGCGATAAATAGTGATTGATTATTGTTGAACTATGAATAATTAAAACTAGTCAATTATTTAGGATAACTGTGAGAATATATATTAAAAAAAAGACCAATTGTCCCTTCAACATAATTTTCTGTTCTCATAAAATCAAGGAAGATGTCGATTTTAAAATGAGACTGAATTATTCATAAGATAAAAAAAATTTTATTCTTACCTGTTCATAAAGTAAGCTAACACCTAACATTGTCGTTTAGAGTAAAATAAATAATTGAATAATGATTAAATTGTATTGTATGAATAATGTTAAGAGAAATCTAAACGCGAAATAATAAACCAAATTAAATGAAATAAATAAAACGTTCGTTCAAAAAGTCACTTTTTCAAAATTAAGAGATAGTCTTACTCTATGTAATCTGTTTTGGAAAATCAGGTTTGATATTTCCAACTTATATTACAAAAACTTTCAATCTAGATTTTTGTTGAGAAAATAATTTTCAATTCTCATGTAATTCAATCGTTACAATACAGTTGAAATTTCTAGTTTCCAGTCGTATAATCTATTCATTTTATTCTCTACGATAAGGACAAAGTTTATTATGAGAGTTATCGAAAATTACGTTTTAGATATCGTCATTAGATTGCGTTTGGTAAAAAAATTTAAAGAATCAATTGCTTTTATATGTTATTTATAGTTGTATACTACTTTGAGAAAGGAATATCCAATTAGTCATTACCTTTATGATCTGATGACGAATATTACAAAAGTGCATTGATGGAGAAAGTGATACACTTATCTATGTGTTGTTTTCTCCCAATCATCGAGTAATTAGTCATGCTGTCCATATTGTCACGTCACTTTATGATATTATCTTTCTTTACGCACATTTACCTATACGTGAAGTTTCATTGAGAAAATTGAATATAAACCTTTTAAGGTCCTCCTTAAAAAAGTACCTTTTTGTCAGAATCATTGAAATTATCAATTTTGATATTATTATTCTCTGTCTATATCATAAATTTTTCAATTAAATATAAATATATTTAGTTATAGTAAAATATAAGAAATTAGCAAAATAAAATAATAATGATAAATAATAAGTTATAATAAATTATAATAAATAAAGGTGTCAGTGGTGTGGGTGGGTGCGGAGTATGGGTGCAGTGGCGGATCCAGGATTTTTATGATGTGCGGCGATTCGGTGGAGACTAGGGGCGATCATGATCATAAAACGTATTATCAGCTTATTTTTAAGCCTTTTCTGCTGAAAAAATCCGACAATTGTTTTTTGGATTAGGGGCGATCGCTCCTAGCGCCCCCCCCCCCCTAAATCTGCCACTGTGTGGGTTTGGGTGTGGGTGGATGTGGGGTGTGAGGGTGAATGAAGAGAAGACACCCACCCACACCCTAATTTCTGTTCTTTTTTTCTTTTTCTTTCATCTTTCATTTCCATAAGAGAACGGGAAAAGAAAAAAAAATAGAAAAAAAATAATGACCACATGGTCACATTTGACAATATGCACATTGTGAGTATTATTACAAAACGATACGAGTGCAAACAAACATATGTAAAACACAATCGAACATTCAAACCTACAATGCGAGATATGTATCTTAAAATTTTATTTTGCAAGAAAAAAAATTGAAGCAAGTCAAAATTTTGATACGAAAATTATTTATATTTAAAAATAATGAATAAGCAAATGAAAAAAAGTTAATAATACAAAATTTTAATAATCTTTCAACATCTGTCGTATGAAGAAATAAATAGATTTTATTCAAAAAAACAAAATTTATTATTTATTTTTTAAGTAGGAAATGTATGGAATATGTTCTGATGTTATTCTTCAAATGGGTTATGATTTTCCATCAGCAATATATGATTAAAATTCATCACAAACATGAAGTGTTGATACATTTGTAATAGTAATAAATGATTTCGTATAAAATTTTCCTAAAAATTTGTTTTGTTTTTTCTTGACAAATAATATTATCTTTGTAGGTGCCAACTCTTAATTGGAAAGATGTTGTAAAAACCAACTCTTATATAAATTGTAATAGCACTTGGTCGAGCATGATCAACTGAACAATATATTGATTTACTTTATCGACATTCGTATAATATTGAAGAACAAGTTCAAAAATTAAAAACAAAAATTAATATTCAACATATTCGTTCATCTTTCTTTTTTTGCAATAATTATCACGCCTTGCTCAAGTAGTTCGTTATCCGAATATATTTTGTTTTGGTAATCATCCAGCTCGTCTTGTTTGAATTGATCGTCTTAAACATTCACTTAATGAGACAAAAGAAACATGGTCATGATTGAGAAAAAGAAACTAGATTTTCATTGAATTGAATTGAATGTTTATTATGTATTGCTGATACAGGTTTATAACCAATTATACTTGAAATATTTAAATGTGGTGTTCAACGTTCTAATGAATTTATTTTTCTTGGTTTATTATAACTTCATGTAAGATTCGTAACTAATTGATCTTTTGTACAAAGTAATGATAGTTTTATTGTATCATAGAATGAGGAAATGGCAGAAAAATTGAACACATAAATTTTGATCTGAAATATTGTCTATAAGTACGTCTTGTGATTGTAATAAGGTGATAAAATTTTCAATGAAAACGGTTAATTCTTGATTTAACTATTTAGAAGTCATCAAAAAAAACGAAAATACTTCAGGAACAATTATTTTAACTAATTTCTACCAATATTCCGGTCTATGAGAAGAAAAAAACTATTAGAACAATTTTTGCGATATTAAAATGTGAATTAATGTAAGGAATTAATCCCTCACAATATAAAACCATCAAAATTGTCGTCACTCTGTAGAGAATCTATGAGTATAATTTTGTATCATTGTATAAACATTAGAGTCTGAACTTGAATAGGTATTAGAAGCTAACAGTTTATCCTACTTTCAGAAAATGTTTTTCGTGTCGTTTCATTAACTTCGATGTAAAAACGAATAGTTGACACAATGTATTTTGTACTAAAGTGTTTACTCTTTTATTCTGTATAATTTCAAATGTATTGCGCATGTCTTCATTTTCTACAAACAGGTATACATAAATGATAATTTAATACCAGTAAGGAAACTTTTCTAGATGTCTCACACTGTTTTAATTCAGATTTTGCTAATCAATAGGACATATTAGTATAACTAAAAGCAATTGCATTCTTGCGGCATTGTGTTCTTTTGTTGAGAAATTGATTTTTTCCATCATCATCAGGGTGTGGGTGTGGATGGGTATGAGAATTGTCCCCACACCCACACACCCAAGGAAGACTCGATAAAGAAATAAAACCCTTCGACAGTCATGCTTTAGAAAAGAGAATGGAGTGTTGGCAAACTATCTAGCGAAGACGAGAAACCCCATAAGAATATGATCGACTTTACATTCATTCAGTTGAAAAAGAAAATGAAAATTTTTTTTTAATGATTATAATGCATTCAACCAATATTTTTGTGTAGATGAAAAGCTTTCTTTAATATTTACTTCCAATAACATACAAAAAAGTACATTTTCATATGCTAGCATCATAGAACATTATTTGTCAATAAAATGAATAATAAAAAAAACATATAATCATAATTTTATTTATTAATATTGATTTCCACAGTAATTGATCTGGTAACAAACTTTTTTGTAATATGATGATTACAACCAAATTCCGATACGGTACTAAATAGAAAACTTTTACTGTCAGGATCAATCAAAATAAAATTTACTACTACACACTTCATGTTAACTTATCATTTATCTATAGTCAGTAGTAGATATGACAGAGGTTTCTGCTCGAAATGCGATCATTTTTGCGTTTAGTATGATTTCAAACAAAGAAATCCAAAGAGGGCATTTCTTTAAAATTAGTTCAAAATATGAATATTATCTTGCAACTAATATTAGTGAGTCTAGTTCGGTTGTTGATCAAAAGTACATTGTATATTTTGAAGTTCATGTAATGCATAGTCAAGAAAATTTATTATTCTTTTCTTTTTCTTATTATTTATTATTTTCAGCGCGTGCTCCGTTGATGAAAATGAAGTATTGATCCTTGATTTTTATTAATCAACAGAATCATTATAAGGGCAACTACTTATAAAACAAAATATGGATTGAAAGATGATTGTACAGATGAAATCAAGATATGAAAGAAGATTATGAAACCATTGTAGGAGAAGGAAATAAATAAATTGTCAAACTAATATCTATTATTGTAAAGACGTAAGATCGAATAAGACTGTTTAATTCTTTTAGTTATTGGAACAACCGACGAAAAATATTAATTTTTTGATGCTGTTATAAAGATTGTTGAATTCATCAGTAAGCCAGCAACATTGTATGTAGTGACCAGAATAGAAATATTTGTCTTATTTTTTAGAAGATATCTTAATATTCCATTGATATGTGTCAGTGTGTGGATATTTAGTATTGAGGATCATCACTAAATGAAAAATATACTGAATTCTGTTCAAATTATACTAATATTTTATAGCAATAATATCCAATACTGTAGCTTTCATTATATCTTTTTCTTGATCCTTCGCTGCTAACTCCTATAAATAAATTGCAGTTGTAAGCAGAGTATAATATATTCATTGTCATGAAAAAGAAATAATCATTAAAAAAAGCAAAACAATTGTAATGTCAAACAGTTTCTAAAGATAAGATTATTCGTGAAAAGAACATTGTCATCGTTTAAGTAGGCATTATGGTTGATACAACTCGGAACTATTTGTTCCGATTCCACCCGCCACCAGAACTCTTCCATTTGTTAATATACATGCGGCATGACTAGATCGACTGTAATTCATATTAGAAGTGATTGTCCACACTCCTGTTGATGGATCATAAATTTCAGTACTATTCGTAATGATACTATTATTGCGTCCACCAGCAATGATCACTTTTCCATTTGTTAATGTCGATGCTGTGTGATACCATCGATTATAGTTCATACTATAACTTGTTGTCCAAGAAGCTGTTGATGGATCATATAACTCAGCACTATTCATAGCAACAGTAGAATTACGTCCACCGGCAATTAATACCTTTCCATTTGCTAGTACGGACGCTGTGTGGTACCCTCGAACGTAAGTCATATTTTGGACTACTGTCCACATGCCAGTTGATGGATCATACAACTCAGCAGTGTTTAAATATCCAACACTTCCAAATCCACCAGCAACTAATATTTGTCCATTTGTCAATATGGATGCTGTGTGAAAATATCGAGCATAAGTCATATTCCCGATAGCTGTCCATACGCCAGTGGATGGATCATACAGTTCGACGCTTTTTAAATAAGTAATACCTGTGTAGCCACCTGTAACCAATACCTTTCCATTTGTTAGTATAGATGCTGTGTGACAACATCGAATATAGGTCATATTTCCGGTGATCGTCCACATGCCAGTTGATGGATCATAGAGTTCGACAGTACTTAAAGAAGTACTCCCTATGAATCCACCTGCAACTAATACTTGTCCATTTGTCAATAAGGATGCTGTGTGGTAGCCTCGAATGTAAGTCATATTTTGGACTACTGTCCACATGCCAGTTGATGGATCATACAATTCAGCACTATTCACATAACTACTACCGCCGTATCCACCAGCAACTAATACTTTTCCATTTGTCAGCACAGATGCTGTGTGATAATATCGAATGTAATTCATATTGCCAGTAATTGACCATCCTATCAGAAAATTTCTATTAAATTGATCTTGTGTAAAATAAAAATGTTTCATTTATTTCTACAAGCTTTACAATCATGGATGAGAGATTTTAGATATTATGAACTGTTATCACTATTTTAAAGTTGGAAAAGATATAAAAATATATAAATTCTTTTTATGTTCAAAGCCTTTTACATCAGCAACATAAGAGACAGATAGGGTGGTAGATTAAAGTTCTTTTTACTAGCCGTTACTTTAAAGGAATCGATCTTTTGAAAAACAATCAATGGTATCAAACGAAAGTTATACATACCTGTCGTTGTTGAAGTGCTGGATGTTGTATCACCTATTACGAGTAATATAGTTGATTTATTGATAAATAAAATATAAATATATTTATTTCATGATTTATCTTAGTTTTGCTTTCGCATAATGTTATGAAAGTTAAATTCAATGTGCATGAGGGATACTCAAGTCATAAATTAATACTTTCTTTTTGGAGAAAATTCTTCTAGATCAACATTCGATGGAATTTTTTTTAATATTGAATCTTTATCGGGCAAATGATTTGCAATTATTTTTCATTTCAACAATCAAAGATAAGGTTTGAAGTAGAAAAAATATGAAATTGAATATTAATAGCTTTCTGTTCTTTCGATGAAGTTTTCTCTTATTAATATACTTCTATAGTCAATATTGTGAAATGTTTTGGAAGTCACAATTTTTTTTGAATCAAATAAACAAAATTTACTGAAATGATTAAAGAATAGATAAAGTATTTACCCGTTGTCGATGTTTGCTGAGGCGACGTTAACCAAAATGTGATTACAATAGCCAATATTAAACCAACTATTAGTGCGCCTAGTAATAAACCGTGAAACAATGGTGAGAAAAATGTACAATATTTCAATAGTTTGCTTGATACTGCTGGTCTGAAAACATAAGAATATGATATATTAAAACTTAATAGATTTGTTATTGCCTTTACATTTCGTTATTTTGATCAACTGAGAGAGGTCCATTCGAACTATACGCAGAGACTTCGTCGGATCTTGTCGATACACATTGACGTTGAGATGGCATTGGTACTTCTATAAACCACTGGCTCATTTTGAGGTATGGAAGGAGAATATTCTAATTGTAGAAAGATTTATTATTTGAGACAAACGAATTGATTCAGAGGAAAATGTGAAATTTTATTATTTTTTCTTCGTCGCAGCATATATAATGTATGGTATAACATAGAGCATTGTTAGAGCATCCTATATTTTCATACTATTTATAATAAGGAAGACTCGATAAATAATAATTTACATTTCAAAATGAGAAAAACAAAGATTTTTTTTATTGACTATAAAAACAAAATGCTGATGTGGGTGTGGATGTGGAGTGTGAGTGTGGGGTATGGGTAGGTGTGGATGTGGGCGTGTGTGGGTGTGGGTGGGAGTGGGTGTGGGCCAGAGATGCCAGATGTCAAAGTCGAAAATCCGAAATGCAAATGTTAAAATCCGGAAAATTCCGGAATTATTTTTTCGAAATCCGGAAAGATCTTCGAGAATCACTTTTAGTCGCGTAAAGGATGTCTTTCTCAATCATATTATCAATTACCTTATATATCTTCACAAAATAAAATATATATTAATTACACAAAAAAAACATATATCTAAGTATAGTTAACTTATGGAATATAACTTAGAAATTATATGATTCGAAGTTAATTAACACGTTGTTTTTTGACACAATATTTTCCATTGGAATGAATAAGTTTCAGCAGTTCTGGTTTTGATAAAAAAAAGTTATAAATTTCTGTACATGATAAAGATGAGTTAAAACGAATTTTTAATTCAGCCGAAACAAGTTTTGTTGACATACGATTTCGTTTATCATCGTATAAATGTTTCATCACTGAAAAAACACTTTCAACAAATGCATTACTACATGGGCGTGTGGTTGTGGAGGCGTGTGTGTGGATGTGGGTGGGTGGGTGTGGCTGTGGAGTGTGGGTGGATGTGGTGCAGGCAAGACTCACACTGACATGCACACCCACACCCTTACTGCAAAGGAATATAGAAAGTACCAGAGATGGACAAAGTCGCACCGCGCCTCCCCGCGCTTCCCCGCGCCATTGCTCACGCCTACGCTACACTAGTCTGAGCTTCGATGAGCGCATGCTTAGAGCATCCCGGTATTCGGTGGAGTTTGAGAAACTGATTGGTAGAGCAAAGAGAAAGAGAGATGTGCGTAGCGCCTAGGCGCGAGTAGTGGCGTGGGGAGGCGCGGTGCAATTTTGTCCATCTCTGGAAAGTACATTGTTTTAAGAGACTTTTATAAAAATTTATTTTGTTTACTAAGGGTACTGCGATTTGTAGAGGTCGTTAGTTTTTTGGAAATAAAAACTTTTTTAAGATTCAGATAATTACTGGAATTTGCAGAGGAGACACGCATCCGATAACACAGAATTTTCCACATTTACTGCAATATGTAGATAACATGATTTTTTGATCATAGAAGTATTTAAAATTTAGTACTATTGTTGTAATTCGTAGAGGACGTAAGATTTTGATGGAACTAAAACTTTCTGTTAAATGTAGCACAGAAGAATCATAATGGAAGTCAAAAAAGGTATGGGTGCGGTTGTCGGAAAAAAGAAGAGTAACACCTACACCCACACCCGCATTCATACGCATATCATTCACCGGAATCAAAGTAATTTTTATTAAGCCATAACGAGATCGGAATGAAAGCAAGTGATATCGTAGACGCCTACTAACTCTACTCAGGTATGGCTGGTTGGACTAAAGAAGCAACACTCACACCTTCAGCCTATGCCGTCTGTAAGTAGTAGTACGGTGGTGTCATCCACAGAGATATCTCCGTAAGGAAATGTCCTACGGGGAAGTATTTGCAGTAGAGTGTTATGATGTGCGAAAGTACCGTGTCAGGTATCGGTGTTTCTTGTACGCGTACCTCAATGATCTCACATACTCCAAAACCTACATTCACACCATAATTTGACGCCTGTCTAACATTAAATATATCTTTTGATATTTTTTTTTTACTGTACTTAAATACTCTATAAAATATTTTATGACAAATTTAAAAGGAATCCGATACTCTCGCATAGATAAAATACTCCAGATACATACATAAGTTGCCCATGTGTTGTTAACTTAACCAGATTGAAAATTGCCTTTCGATGAATGGTAACATGGTACTATAAATAGTGCTGCAGCAACACATGATGTCCAAAATGTTGCAAAATAACAAAACAATCACATTTTTTTCAAGCGTATATCAGCTGTTATTTGATGTCGAGTGCAAAAATTTCAGCGATAACAACAACAATCTCGTCATTACCATCATTGTCTGCAGCCGTTCTTTCGCGTTCTTGGTTTCTGCTTACAGAAAGAAACAAATAAACTCATGAAGCTTCCACAACATAAAAACCTTTGTGAAATTTCGAATTTCTACAGATTCGTCCTTCAACGACACCGTCATGAAGTATAGGCACGCGTGACCGGTGTAGGTGTGGGTCCCTATTACTAATAGCCACATCTTCACTATGGTTGATCTGAAAGTTTTCTTATTCGGTGTGCTGCAAGTAGGTTATTTATAGAATACAAACTCTATAGTCAATGGAGAGATAGAAAAGTTTAATATCAAACTATTTTATCTATCTTTGCTGACTGTGTTGATTTATAATAGAAAAAAAAAGAACATTCCTTTTTCGTTGTGCCATACTTCTATGTCCCTTTCTTTTTGTTGGTTTCTCAGGATTATGATGTGTATGTGGGCAAACGTGGGTCAGAATAAGCTCGTCGAACCGAGAATTCACTCGCATCTGCACCTCTCAATTCATATAAACTATTTTTATGGTTGTTTTTAGGAAATTCTTTTGAAAAACATATTTAGTCAAAGTATTATAAGTTCAACACTTGAATATAAAATGATGTGGGTGTGGGATGTTCTTATGGCTGTGGCTGTTGGGATAAATCTGACATGAATTTCTTGCCATACCTACAACATACCTACACCCACACTCTTGAAAGCGTTGGCATTATTGAAACTCTTACAACTCTTTGCACCTACAGAGCTCTTACAAGTCGTCGAAATCTTGGAACTCTTGGAGCTCTTGGGACCCATAGAACTCTTAGAAGTCATAAAACTCTTAAAACCCTTCGAACTCATGGAACACTTAGGACTCTTGAACTCCTTGGAACTTTTAGAACTAATAGAAGTCTTGGAAGTCATGCAGAGTGTTGCTCTAGTTGCTTTCTTTGCTCCCACTAACCCACTGCCACACCTACATTCTCACTCAAAGCCACCTAAATTCCACCCATTCGCCGTGTACGAAGACATTGACAAAGATGTATTACCCACCCGTAATTTCATCTTGTGGGTGTCAATAAGGGTCGGATGTCGATGTGATATAGCTTTAGACGTCGCTGTATGGGTCAGAGTGGCGCTTCAGGCTGTGGGGTTGTATGGGCGTGCATAAAGAGTGCGGGATGTGTGTCGTTATGCCGAAGCGAATAGATGTGGGTGCGAGTATCCGTGTACCTGCGCTTAGGGCTGCATAATCTGGCCGATTATAAATACTACCCGCATACTTAGTAATACCTACACCCACGCCAAGATTTTACCAGATTGTCAATGAATTGAATAGTTCAGGGTTCTTGAAGAGTTCTGAACTCTTGGAGTCCAGCCACTGCTGCCACTACCACACCCACGTTCACTCCATCCACAGCCACATCGCCACCCACAAGTTCGCGCACACTTCTTCGTACCCACACTCAGATCGGCGTCAGCAACAATGCCTGTACCCACAGCGGCACTTACAGCCATACGACTCGCAGATCCAGAGCCACCGTGACGTTCACCGAAACTTATGTCTACAACCGCAGCCAGGTAAAGCTATTGTATTGACTATTCTCTGTATGGCATTAAAGCCGCTAGCAGAATCTGTTAAATTGCACTCTACAATGCTCCTTCCATGTCCCAGCATTTTTCTTTGAATTGTGGTCTGAATGTGTTGAAAGCCTGTCGAATCCTACTAGTTTCAATTCTAACTGTTCGATAAGGATGTCTTTTTCTTCTTCTATTTGTTATCTAAGGCTTTTCCCCCACTCGGTCTGTTGATGTAATCTCTTCTCATCAATTGAAACCTTCTAGAATTAAGGTAGATATCCCATTCGGTAAATAGTCACAATTGTTTGTTACTGTCCCTTTTCAATCGTAAACAATGCATGAATACTTCAAGAATCACTTTCTTTTCTTATTTTTCAGTGCATCGAAGTTTTTACCCATTCAGTTTATTTGCATACCCTCTTCAAATCGAGACAACCTTCGCAAAGATAGAGTAACTTTATTGTGATTATAAAAGAGGCTGCGAATCGCATTTGACTTTCATTGTGATGGACTGTTAAACCTCCTGTAATATTCCTTTCTCTATGCTTTGATATGGGGCGAGTATTTTTTTTTTAATGATTTGTTTGAAAAGTATAGACTTCGTGGTAGATTGAATTTCAGAAACAAGGAATTTCACTGAGTCTAAGTTAAAGAGCAGAGCTTCTACCGCAAATGAGTTCTATTCTATTTTCGAATAGTTTTCCTTTTTGTCAGAGATTCATATTTGCACGTGTGTTTTGCGAAGAAATCAGTTGGCACAGAGCAGTCTACTTTGTAGTTCGTAATGTTTATGAAACTGTCCTGCACTAATACAGTTTTAGTCGCGCTAGCTGTTTTCAGGTCTTGAAATACAGTTTTGATATCATGTTTAATTCATTCGTTAAATAATTTAGAATTTTTTTTTGCTCTGTGTATCATAAAACAAGTGACAGTCCTTTCTTATTGTGCAAGTTACTTGCGTTTTTAAAAGGATTATGCTGATGATAGATAAAAAGCTACCCCAGAGATTTATTATTGTATTCGTCGTAAAAAAAAGTATGCAAAAACTCTCCTTTTATTGCGATCTGTGAGACTCAATAGAAAACATAATGCGACTTTTTTTTAAAGTACTTGATCAGTTGATTTGTACGTAAAGTGCAACAAAGTAGTAGTTTTTAGATTTGCCTGACTTCAAATATCAGCAAACATTGTTTAAACGATCGTAACAAGTAGGTAGTCAAATGTACTGTATAGGTTTTTCCGTAGTTTTTTCAAACTCTCTGCTGTATTAGAGATTTCATGATACCTCGTGATGCTCTATGGCACCTGGAACACAGTGTTTCGAAAGCGAGCAATATTCGAATTCATTAGTCCTTGATGACTTATTGATACTGCTCTTGGATAATGCTTGAAGATCGATGGGTATCATCATAGAATAGTCTTTGAGAACTTATGGGTACTTACATACGACGCGCTTTGAGGTCTGATGGGTACCCTATAAGATATACCGAAAAGAGGTACCATACTGAACCATTTCTAAAACGAATTCTAAACCATTAAAAGGTTTCGTAGATTTGATACAAAATCTGTAAAAAGTTCAGAATTCACTTGAAAAGTCGAAACGCTTTTAAGTTCCATAGAAAGCACTAGACGATTTTTTCAAGTTCATGAAACTCTTTTGTTTTAGTTCTTTAATCATAAAATTTTTTTCGATGTAGGTGATAATATCTTATAAATATCTCTATAGAATAGGTCATGATACCTTACGGATAACTTCATGTAACAGTCTTTGAATACATTCTGCTTTCAGGCGGCTCTAGAAAAGTTTCAAAATAACTCATATGAATGGAACTGTTGACTTTTCCAGCTGACAATATCGGGAGCTGTCACACACTTGGTCGTGACTTGTAGATATTATACGCATTCCCTAACACGAAATGTAAAACGTCAGTAATAAAATGATCAGAGATTCAGTGTGTAGTGAGAGTTCGATGGGAATCCAGAGGACCCCGTAATACAAAGTTTGGCTTTTTCCCCTTGGAATTGACCATGCTACACGGTTTTGTATAAAAAGAATCTGAGAATAAGAAGAAATTGTTCACGACCGAGTTCATCCTCTACATTCAGACTTCGACTATCTTATGCAAACAATTGAAAAGAAATCATTCAAAATTAATTAAATAGCTACTAATGTTTTCTTTATTTTTCTTTCGCACTCATGAGTTGTTTGCATAAGATGGTATTCCATAAAGCTTCATGACATATGCATTATCTATATAAATGCATAAAATCGCTTTTGTTGTGCATTCTGTTGAAATTAGACGAAGCAAACTAAGAAAAACCGTCGGTCTTCATCAATCAACGACTTCAAACCCAAGTTCATTTAGATTGATTTCGCTCCATAACTCGTCATATTAACTGATATATTTCCGGATATCATAAAGAAAGCAATGAGTTTCAACAGTTCCAACCAATATCAGTATCATTATAGTTACAGTTATTCGTACAAGTCTGGTCAAGTCCAAAATCGTTCCATAACAATGCCGAATGACGCGTTTGATCGATTTAATTCTTTAATGCCTCGACGAGCAATTTCGCAAATGAACTTCATGAAAGTTGCAAAAGTAATCATGGTGGGTCCTGACTCAACTGACGACGAAATAAGGGAAGCATTTCATATTTTAGATGCTGATGGTTCAGGTCAACTTGACGTGAATGAATTAGCCAAGGTGATACCTGCTATTATGCCTAGTACAACTTTAGATACTCTTCCTACAATGATTCGTCGTTATGATAAAAATTATGATAATCAACTCAATTTGAATGAATTTACCAGACTTGTCAAGGGTGGTATTGGGCGAAACATTGTCTACAGAGACGTTATTATGATGGAGTATGATTAGAAAATAATTAAGTTTGCTACACGTAAAAAATGATTATAACTTGTAACGCGTTTAGCCACTGTCTTAGTTAGCCTTCATAACTTTTTTGATAAATCATATTTATTTTCAATTAATTATAACTCTTTATTATAAATATAAAGTGCATGATTTTCTGGATGTTTCCTTGATTTTCACAAAGCATATCCGTAAATGACTACACAGAATAAATTATTTATTAATATTCACATCAACCGTTTGAAATTGCTTCATAAAGTCATAAACCAAAATAATTCAAAAAGATCAGAACTTACGACTTCAAACAAGATCATTCTAATGTGTTCAAACTGCTATTATGTATTAAAACAACCAATGATCGCGACCATATTCGCAATAATTGAAGAAACGAAAGAATAATAGAGCTACGGATTTCATCACTTCAAAGAGATGACATTATAGCATCCTTTCCTGCAATATTGTATAAGACAAAATGATTTTGAAATCAAAACTTTTTCCGAAACATAGAAAAAAGAAGACACAAAATTTATATATTTCCTATGAAATTTTGACAAAAGGTAAGAAAATGGTGTGGCTGCCGATGTGTTTATAATTGAATGTATAGGAACCTAGCATATTTACGACCGGTTTCGGTCTTATTCAAACGTCGCTGTCAAGTTGGGAATCAAAAAATGTTGTACATCGGTCAAAGTTACAAAATAGTGAAAATTTCATGAAAATCTCAAGAATTGAAACTTCCAGCAACTTTCCATCAATTTCTGTGTAAATGAGCACTAATAAATCCATACCCTTCGACAAACCAAGCAGAGTTTACGTTTTTCCCAGTCTTCGGTTAACTTTTTCGTAGTGAACGTTTCCCAAGTGTGTCTTGGATGTTTTGATGCGGTTAGGTGATCACGTTGAATTCACAGCTAGTTAAAATAGTGTGCATTTCTGCTTATGTATTGCGTTTGAGCTGATAGTTTTGCTATATGTGTTGATAGGGTATTGTTGCTGGCATAAGTATGTCTCCTCTTTTAATACGCACGCGCACAAGTACATCCACTCAACCACCCACTCATATCCACACCTACACCCTGAATGGCCTCTAACGAATTGTCGAACCGAGCGAGCTTATATGAGAGATGTATCTATTAAACATCGTGTTTCTTTGTAAAAAAACATCTCTTGGAGTCATTTTAGTATTCTTTCACAACTTTCTCGAAAAACATGCTTCCATGATCATAGGATCTACTGAACACGGTGCACTTTCGCGCGTATAACACCTGAAGATATCTCTGCGCAGTAATAACAGATTATGTAAAATTTATCTGTTTGAATTAAAAGGTCTCTTCGTATTTGAGTTTCTTCTGGAAAATCGGAAGCGCTGATACCATAAAGCAGGTTTCCATAATTAAAGAAAACATTACTTCATGTATATACGTCCTAGTGTTATATGTGAGTACTTCTTTAGAGTTTGTGAACGTATTTCTTTTGTTAATAAGAGTCAAATGCATTTTTCGAAACAGACACAAACTAAAACACAGAGTGGATATTCAACTACTGATTTTCTGTCAATAGTTTCTTCATAAGAGAGTCGTATTCATTCCATTTAGCTTGATATTAATATTTATGCTAGTAGCAAACTTCATTGTGAACGAATTCCATGTACACTAATCAAATCTCTACGTACGCAGCTGAATTAAATGAGTTTGATAAAAAAAAAACTAATTTTCTTTTTTACACTTATTTAGTTATCGAAAAGATAAAGCGTTGTCAGTGATAGGTCTTAGCCTTGAGAAAAAACGAACGCTACCAGATATCGCACCAAAATGCTAGACTACGTTGACTGTATTTTTCTAAGAACACTTCTTACGAACCATGGTCTCCTTTTTTCCACAGGATAATATCTGTTTCTTTTTTTACTCTGCACAAGTGAAATAAGTAAAATAAACTCATTTACTAACGATATATTGGACAAAAATCAAGTTAAACTAAGATTCCTTGGCAGGACTGCCAAAAAAATATGACTTTTTAAAAGAACTTAATAGAAGACTCTCCTTTTAACTTATGAACGATAAGACAGATTAGAAGATCTAGATTCTTCTAATGTTTCGGGAGCTTTATGGGATGCATGTTATTTTTCCGTCTTATCTGAGTTCAATCGACAGAATATAAAAACAGGAAATGATCTGACTTCACTGAATAATTGAAAAAATGTTTATGATCGATTATTTCATCGTTTTTTCATTTCTCATTGACCGAACGTTATTCTCATCTATATCAATGTAAGCTAAATAAGAAAGAAGATAATAACATTTCTCAAAAAAAAAGAATTCTTAACTGTTTCTTCGAAAGTTTATTGCATTCAATATAGATATATATGGTCAGATACAGCTACTCGATTGGTATTCACAATGTATAATCAAGTTCATTTAGCAATATTTACCTACTTAAGCATGATTATAACAATTATTTTTCATTTCATTATGGAACTTAGATCCGTAAGATAGTCGTATCTATAATTTTGTTCGATTGATGATTTTCGTAATTTTGGTCTAAATATATGTTATTTTTGTAATCAAGGAATAATTATGCATCACTTTATTATCATTCTGATATCAGTACATACTCATTTATTTAGAGGATATAACAGTACTTACCTTTTCGCCGAACATGATAGATTTTATTATGTGATACATGGCTTCATCATTCGAATGGTATTGATGCTAATCTACTTTTCTCGCTCATGAATTACTTGCACAATATTTCACGTTTCTCAATTTCTCTTGGAAAGTAGATACGTTAACTATTTATTTGTTTGACAGTTAATGTCTTTCGTCTCTTTTTGGTTTATGCCTATTTTGGGAATAGGAGTGCGAGTGCGGGGTGTGGGTATGGAATATGGATGTAGATGAGGGTGGGTGTATCAAAAGAAGCGAAAGACTTACGCCAACAATCACACCCACTCACCTCCACTCCAGCATTTACATCTACATTCATCGACACCACACCCACCCACCCACATCCTTATTTTCACCTCTGAGAAAAAGCAAAACTTTTTTTATTGTTACATATTTGAATTAACTTATAAATAGAACTTATTTATTAAAAACAAACACTAACATCTGTTATATGAACGAATCCTATCGAGAGATATATTAGAAGATTTATTGTGTCAAACACATGGGAATACCTGTCTTATCCAAAAGACGTGTCAATATTCTCTAAGATATATAAGGAGAATAAGAAATTTTAGTTCTGTTTGTCTTCGATTAATCGTTTATTTTAGTAATCAGAATTGATCGTATTATCTATATTCTGATGATGATATATGAATTGAGTCTAATTTCGACTACTGGTATACATGTATTTGTCATTATTTACCAACAAGTACTTCAGAAATTGTAGATTTCTAATCTAACATGCTATTTCAAACTAATCATTAGATATGATTAACATCAGTTTTATTCATCTATCGATTTATATTTATTTATTTAATTGATTTTTTTGCATTGAGTTAGGATAAAAAGTTAATACGTCAAGAAAATACTATTCACTCAAAAGAATTATTTAAATATAGGACTAATCACCATAATAGATTTACTGTTGAGGGTGTGGGGTGTGGATGTGGGTGTGTGGTATGGGTGTGGGTGTGGGTATGGGTGTGGGTGTGGGTGGGGTGGGTTGGTGGGTGTGGGTGTGGATGTTATTTGACTTTTACTCTATACCCACACCCACACCCACACCCTCACCCACACCCACACCCACACCCACACCCACATCCAACCACACCCACACCCACATCCACACCACACCCACATCTTCTAAAAACTCCAAAACCATATTTTCCAAGTTTGAGAAGACGTTGTTGAAATAATTTTTCGACAATGGCATCTTAAAGGAGTCCATGGGCTTTTTTATTTCAAACTGAATTCTAAAATCAGAAAAATCACACCAATTTCTTCCGAATCAAACTTTTCTCGCTTGATACTACGTAGTCTCACTAAAAACCCTTAGTCCCCCCTAGTCCTGCAAAGTCCCCCTTAGTCCCCCCCACAAAAAGCTTAGTCCCCGCTTAGTCCCTTGTGCAGGGGACTAAAGCCTATAGTACACAAAACCACAAGCACACCCTCACCCTCACTCGCGCGCCCACACCCGCACCATGGGTGTGGGTGTGTGTGTGGGTCCCAGACCAACACCCACACCCTCAGTCACCTCCCCCCCTCACTCCTAAACTCACGTTTCAGTTTGAAATCAAGTATTATTTTTATTTGATAAATTCAGACTGAAATTAAATAGCCCATAGTATGTCTTAAAGAGCCCAAAATTCTGAACCAAATGATCGATCGGCAGATTTTCTACGATCATCCATTAAAAAAATTACAACCAACGCAAAATACAAAGGTGTGGATGTGATTGCGGGTGGGTGTAAGTATGGATATGGATTTAAAGACTATTCCTATCATCATCCACACCCACTGAAACTCACATCTACTCCCACATCTACACACCCCTATCAACAAACATAAACGTGAGAACATTATCTTGAAAAAGTTATGTGATTAGGTTATATAAAAAAATATGTTTTTTTTTGTTTTTCTACAGATTTTCTCCTCTAATATCTTCTGTATGCATATGTCTAATACTGCTCTCTAGTAAACTTTTCTGAAAAAAATTATTTAGAATCATCAAGTATTACCTTTGATTAGTGTTTTTAAAAAATCCAATTAAACAGAACAACCTACTCTCTTCTTCTTCCTTGCAGTTTTATTTTTCGACGAAACAGAAATACAAAAAAAATTCGACGAAACAGGACATAGTCAACAACTAAGTACAGAATGAGTTGCTGGTTTAATGCAATTGTTTTAAATAGTTGCTGATCCTAGTTTCCTATGTATTGTTCAAGCATGTTTTACATTAGTAAAAATTAATTGAGAATGTTGTTACGTTTGTTCTTGTTTTTGGCTTAGAGAAAGGATATCGTGGTGAAACTAATCTGTTAGGAGTTAATGTTTTTTCAAGTAATCGTGCAGTTAAATATGAAAATGATATATTTAATGAGAGCATCGACAGATACTGTCATAATCAGGAGAGAACATTGTCAGAAAAGAAAAGATAAAGACAAGTATATTTTCAATAGAAACTTGAATGTATAATATAACTGAATAGATATAAATATACACACAGTGCTCAAGAGCTACTATACAATAACTATAAACTGAGAGCTGAATAATGATAAAAATTGTTTGATAAGTTTCCATAATCACCTAAAAGGCAATGAGATGAAGTGCAAGAAATGAAAATATCAATTTTAATCTAGTTTAATCGAAAATCAGACTTAGAAATCAGATTTTTTTATCGATTTTTTTCTAAAAATAATCTATTTCAATCGAAATGTTTTTACTCTTTTTTTTTCTTAACATTAGATTATGATTGCCAACCATTGGAAGGAGTTCATTTTCTTGGAATTATTCAATAGACTATTCGAAGACTAGAGCAACGATCCTAGGGAAGTATCTTTATTCGTTCCAAAATATATTTTGCACTTATAGTGTAATATCTAATGACGACAACTATGAATAGGAATGACAATAATATCTTTCAATACTTTTTCGTTTCTCTCCTCGACCATATTCTTACCTGTATATTGCGTTTTTTTCAGCATCATTTCTCATACGACATAATACTTGTTGCACTCGGTTGTTAATGACAATTTGTCATATTTCGTATGTCAATATTTTTCTACTCTATAGTATCACTATATTTAAACAAGAGAAATTCGATAGTTTGGGGTGTGGGTGTGGGTGCAGTGTAAGTAAACAACATCTACAGCCACACCCACCCCACCCCCATCTCCATCCCCACCCCCACATCCACACCCACACCCACACCCACACCCACACCCACACCCACACCCACCCCCACACCCGCACCCACACCCTTAACATTTTTACATCTGTATATAACATAGCGTCATCAGTACGTTTTTGTCTGAGGGCGATTTTTCTCAATAGTTTAATAAGAGATCTAATTTCTACCGGAATCAAAATCCTACATTTATTTAGGTGGAAACAGGTTGTTCAACGAATAGATAGCAAAAAGAGAAAGGATTCATAACCCTTATATACTATTTCTGATAAAACATACTATAGTTAGAGAATGACTGGATACAAAAGGTATAGTCAAACGTTCCCCTCTCCATCCATATCATGATATCAAATCTATATTTTTGTACTAACGAGAGGACTTCCAAAGAACGAGTTTCTAAACCTCTAACATTAAAGAATAAAACCTGTAATGCTGCAGTTTTATTAGTAACATCCTCTTTTAGATACTTCTTCCAGTCAGAAAAACACATTGATAACAATGGGTACTTATACCACTCCACCAAAATTTTTTCTAATAAACCTAACTCAAATCGTGTTAAACTATTTTTTTCATTGTTCAAGAAATTTTGATCTTTCGTCCTCGATTAACTTAGAGTTACACGAAAAGAATGGAATAGCAAAGGAGGAAAGTGTCATTTTTTACTTTTCATATGAAATTCCAAACATTTCTGCAGTTGTATATTTTGTCTTTCTAAAATGCAATTGAGATCGACATCATTAATTCGACCATTCTATTCTGTATTTAATTTTAAAATAAATTGAACCATATTCAGTACTGTCTCTAATAGTATTTGTATATCACCTCTATTACTTTGTTCTTTTGTTTCTAATATTTGAATTTTGTTCATAATTTGAATGTCGGCTTCAACCTTCTTTTTCATTAGTTCTTCAAATATGTTGATTTTTAATACTAGGTCTTCAATATTTTTATTAATTTTCAACATATTATCATTTAATGTGTCTAATTCCTGTACTAACACGTTATTAGGTCTGACAATATTTAAATTTTGTGGAGTCGGTATCGATGGAAAATTTGCAGGATTATACACAAAATTATGATTATCATTAATAAATGAATGAGCTTGGTTCGATTGGGTACAAGCTGTCGTGGTTAACAATTTTTTCGTCAAATTTGCTCGAATTTGTTTAATCACCGGACAGCTCATTGCATTAGAGTTCTGATTGCCTCTACAGTGTATGCATTTAGCTGTCTTTGAACAATTATGTTGTTTCAAATTACGACAAACTTCTCCACAAACTTTACATGCATCATTGTCTTCCTTACAATTTCTTCTAAAATGACTCAATACTATATATTTTGAACAAATGAGTACCATTGCCGGAGCAAGATACTCGACCACATTATAACATGTAGCATTAACTACTATTTTAGCCAATTGAATTAATTTATTTCTATCTTTGGTAGATATCAGTTCGATTTTAACAACACGAATTTCCTTTTGAAATTTATTTTTCGTACGTATAACATTTTTAATAGATGAATAGTTTTCTTTAAGATGATTTGTGAAATCATTAAAATCTAATCTTAAATCAACATTTTTTATTAATAACGATAACTGAGCCGGGATTGACGGTTTGATAACAATAGTATAATTTCAATTCTCGGCTAGTTAGCATCGTTATAAAGGACGCAAAAGAAATTGCTATCTTTGACAAATCACAACAGATCACATTCATTTGAACAACATTTTGCTGTAGACCGACGGTATCCTGCAAATTCAACTACTTCGTTTTTATTATGATTAACAAAGTCGATCAAATCTTCAACAATTTTTTGTTCATTGATATTCATAACATAAAATTTAATAATAAATAGAGCAAATGGATACTTTGCCATAGCATAACATTCAGATTGTATCGTTATTTGATTATCATTATTATTATTTATAGCATTAGTGTTATTCACATTAATATTATTGTCCTTATTAGGATATTTAGTTAAAAATATATCAGGAGAAGTACTTAAATGTTATTGTTGTTGATTATCAAAATCATCATTGTTAATTATAGTATTAGTACCAAACTTCGTTCTATCATTCTTTTTTTTCGTTATGTTTAACTTTTTTTATTTTTATTTTTCACTTCTAACTAATGTAAAATCATCTTCTGTATCATAAGACAATGTACGTCTAATTGATGTAGAAGGTGAATTCAATGGTTGTATATTAACAACTGATGTTGATTGAACATGGGGTTGATCTTCACTAATATTTACATTACATTTAGACATAAGTTCATGAATGCAACCATTTTGTTGTTGAATCTGTTGATTCAATGACTGATTTGGGTAATTAGCCATAAAAAGTTTTAGCTAATTATCCGAAAAGGTATTATATTATAATATGTCAATAATTATAAAATTATTAACACACGTAGCAGTGTTATCTTACGTATGAAAAAGATATGCGTAGATACAGAAAAAAAATGCACCCTACGACCTTTAGAGAAACGATGCGAATGACTCACCTTTTCTCATTTTTGTGCGTTTACACACGTTTTCTGTCCGTATGACTGTATGGGGTGTTTCTACGAGAGAATACAAATATCAAATCATCTTGTATGTAGGTATATGCGCATAACAACTCAAGTGAGTTATTTTTACTCCACCTAAATGCGAAATAAAGAATACTCATAGTCCAGAGCATAAATAAATTTTATTATGAGTAATCATCACATAATTACAAACTCATTTCCCATAAACATTTTGCGTCTTTATACGCGTAACTGTTCTTATATATAGGGTTGGACATTGTGCATATATACTTTATTCAACAAGATTCTTCAGCATACTACTCATCGTATTTTCTATTCAGTCTGTGTACCTCAAAAGATGAAGCAATCCTACACGTTCGCTTTTACTCTGGTGCTTCTAATTCTGGTTGCTAACATTTGTAAGTTCTACTACGACATTCTTCTAAAGAAAGTTTCTTATACTGTTTTTATTTGCCTGTAGACGAAGCCCAAGGCGGTCAAGGCTGCCCCCTTCCATGGAATTCGTGTCGCCAACATTGCGTGTATGAAGTGTCTACAAATAAAGGCAAGCCATGTGGTGGTAAATGTAGCGGATTCACATGCGTGTGTCTTTATGGCAGCGCATGTAAAGGTTAAGAATGAAAATTTTCTCCAATGACTGTCACTTATTTTCTTTTGCTTATTGCATTGTAATTTATAAAATAAAATGAACTTTCGCTTGATTATTCATCATACAGGGTAATGCTTTCTAGCAATAAATACAAAGCGATAATCAGTCTCACATTGATACCTGTGAACGAGATATATATAGATAGATGTTATGTAATCTATATCTCTTCAAAAGAGGAATGTTTATTTATGAATAAAAACATCGGTATATATATGTTTACAGAAAAGAATAGAAATAAAGGTTATCAAGGTCAGAAACATAGATAATGAAATTATATCAGATGGAACATATATCACGAACAAAGGAGGATAATACGAATAGAAAGAAAACAATAGAAAGGTAAAGAGATGATATCGAAAGTGATGTATGTACACAAGCGACCTCGATTAAATCACTGTAACATACTCTCTTGTTGGACAAAAAAAATGTGTCCTATCAACATTTTCCCTGAGATGACTAGCAATAGAAATATCATTAACAAACAAATGAAACAACAAAAAATAAACAAACATAATCATGGTTTAAGTTTACAATAACAAAATAAAAAGTATAAATACAAAGTGACAATGTTAAAGAAAGATATAATAATCAATACAACGAGTAACGTTAACAACAACAAAAAAAATAATGACATAAAATAAACAAATTTATTTCTTTTCTTTTGTCTCTTTTTCCTGTTCTTCAATTGTGTCGGTCCGACTAGCAAGAACTTGTAAATGTGAAATTGAAATTATTTATGATTTATTCAGTTGGTGTATAACGACGATGATGATTATTTCGATGATAATGACGATTTGCATCATGATAAATTTCTCGCTTTTCCTATTAAAATTGTTTATAATGTTCATAGGTAAATAAATTTTGAATTTGAATTTCATATGTTTCTAATTTTGATGCATCTTTTATACCAATGTATAATGTACGTTCACGAGTAACAGATGCTGTTGAGAAGTTAATAGCTGTAAATGAAATTCGATGTTGTCAAAGAATGTCCTTTATATTTCGAATAGTAAATCGTTTATCAATATTTCGACGTGTAATTCCATATTGGTAATATCGTTTACGTTGTTTAAGAATGCATGTACAATTATGTATTTTATGTTTTTCTTCTTTTGTTAATTGTCAAGTACGTTGTTTAGATTCAATATTGACTGGATTAGGTTCAACAGGTGGTGTTTGTTGAGGTTGTTGTTCATTATTATTATCTGACATTTGTTCATCTGAATGTGTTCATGATTCAATAGGTTCATTATCATTAGATGACGGTATTTGTAATTCATAATGTGTTGCTTTTGTTGTTGTTGATAAAGTTATTGTGGTCTGTTGTTCTTCAAATAATTCTTGTTCATTTTGTTCGTTGGCATCAAATAACATTGATTCTAAATCATTATTTGTTTCTTCTTCGATTGCTGGTGATTATGGTGATTGTTGTTTAATTATATCCATAGCCATAAGAACTTGATACATTGCATCACAATCATTTGCAGCATATTGAGTTATTAATTGACGATATTCTAACTCATTAGAATTTAATTTAACTAATTTTGGGTCCAGCCCGATATCAAATGGTGAATGTGTATGGCGTTTATCTAACCATTTGTGTAACTCATATGCTGTTGCAGCTTGTATGGACCACGGGTTGTTTTCTTGTATACCAATACATGCTTCACATATACATATTTGATTATTTGTTGATGATGTTGGAATATGTGGGTGCGGGTGTGGGTTGTGGGTGTAAGGTGGGTGTGGGTGTGGGTGTGGGTGTGTGTGGGTGTGGGTGGATGTGGGTGTGGGTGTGGGTGAATGGCTGGGTGACTGAGGGTGGGTGTGGGTGAATGGCTAGGTGGCTGAGGGTGGGTGTGCGGTGTTAGTGGGGGGTGTTGGTGTTGGTGCGTGTTGTGGTGTGTGTGAGTGTGAGTC